GTGTGTGTGTGTGTGTGTGTGTGTGTGTGTGTGTGTGTGTGTGTGTGTGTGTGTGTGTGTGTGTGTGTGTGTGTTTAATGTCCCGCGCTGCATTTCATGACGGTCTTCGTCTCTCTTTGTGCAATTCCCGACCAAACGACAAACATCAGAGTGTTGATTCTGGCTCAGCCACCTGTCGCATTGTGCCGCTCCGCAGTCTCCCATGTAGACACTCCCTGTTGCCGGGGCGACGGCACCCCTCGCTAATTCCTGGTGTTCCTCCACGCATACACGCTGCTCCCCCCATCCCTCACACACACACCGTCCCCACTTCCTGTTGCATCTCGGCTCACGTAATGAGGATGGCACCAGCCGCCTCCGCTGACCAGCTCTGACTCATCCTTGGGGAGCATCCCGACAACACGGGGAAGTTCAACCCGAGATTTTAATGGCTGCGCTCGGAGGTGGCGACTGGTGAATTGTACCAAAATAAAAGGCATGGGGATGACGTCTGAAATAGCTGACAAACGTTTGAGTCACGCAGCTTGTTGAGCCGAGTAGCGCGCACACACACACGCACACACATATATCCTGATTAAACGCTGCCAGCCATTTTAGAGCAGTTTGAATTTTTCAAAACTCACTGGATATTGTGCTCAATGGTTATTTTTGCGTAAAAATCGACCAAATTAATGAATAGAAATAATTGCAGTGGATCATCAGACCCAGCCCCACCGATCCCTGTTGAAAAATGTCATTGACAAGTATACAGTGAAGATGGGGACCGGGTTGGACTGCTAATAGCCAGAATAAGCGTAGAACAGTCATTCACACACCCAACAAAAGTAACACAAATATTTTAAATTAATGACAACGTTTTTTGAAATAAATCAGTGAATATGAGAATCCGAGGGTGATTAATCGCAGGTATGTGGGGGTGCGCCGTACTGGTCAATGGCAGTCAAGGTCGCGGGTGAATTTGAGCCTATGCCAGCTGACTTTGGGCGACAGACCGGGTACATCCGAGACTGGTCACACTCAAATTCACAGCTATGAACAATTTCGAGTTTTCAATGAACCTAAGATGCATGTTTTGGGGTTGTAGGAAGAAGTCAGAGTGCTCGGAGAAATGAGGCGGATGTCTGGAGTACCAATCAAAACAAAAGCGTTCAGTAACTCAACTCAACCAATCAGCCGTGAATGCCTTTTGACATCATCTTCCTGGCTCCCCTTTTTTTTTTTTCCGTCTTCCCCTCCTCATGTCACCGGGGCTATGTCTCTAATTTAGCCGCTTGCTTCACTTCGCTTACAGCTCCCTGTTCAAAATAGCTGCGAGTCACGTGACGGACCAGCTGTCACATCATTGGCCGCCGCCAGGCTCGAGACCCCCCGCGATGTCATAGTAACCACCTCAGCCGCATCCGTGCGGAGGAGGAGATGGGGAAACTTGAGGATGGTTGCGGATGAATTGAAATGCGTTTCAAGTAATCCATCACGCAAAATGTGGTTTCATGACCTTTGATCATCAACGTCGTGGGAATAATCCAAAGAACGGTGAAAAAAGGGAGATGGTCTCTCAGACGAGTCGCAACGCATTGCGACGCATTCGCACCTCCTTAGCGGTGATATTGAATAGCTCGGTGGGGGGAGGGAGACAGCCAAGGCCGAGCCGAGAGGGCATGGTTGCAAACGGACGAGAGCTTTGACTAATGAGGGTCGAGGAGCATCGTCGCCGTGCGACAAAGAAAAATTAGTTTGCATTCCCTATGGGTGTGTTCTCTGGAAACCCCTGGAAATGACTTTCACGGAAGAAGCAGAACATCAACGCTAAAGGCGCTTGATAATACTGAAATGAAAGACTACAAGGGGAGAAAAGAAATCTCCCAAATCCCTCCTCGGTAGATCTCTGCATCGATAAATATTTGCTTCCTTCTTGTAGAAAATACATAAGAGAGTTTAAGGTGCCAAACAGTCAAATTGGGGGAATAAAAGCCAAGTGATTGGACTACCAGTGGTCTGGAAACACTTGAAAGACAGACCTAAATTCCTTGAATCCAAGTCTCAAGTCTTTTCGGCCGAGTCTAAAGCGACTCCTCAACCAACGAGCCCAAGTTAAACACTTCGATCATAATTTATCCCGAGTTCAAGTCCTTAAATCTGAGTTAAAGCTTATGGCATCACGGTCTTAGAGTACGCCATTTTTGTAAAAGAAGTCATTTCATACAAGTCTGACGATGATAGCATCTGAACGCTAACAGCCACTTCGGGTAATGTGCTATTATTCAAGAGTGAAGAATCCTAACGTAAAGCCAAGTAAATGTCCGATTGATTTTTTTGTGCTTAAAGCGGTCGCGATGACAGGACTGGAGTGCCTGGATGCCACAAGGGGGGGCCGGGGGGGATGGGGGGGGCAAGCGAAGTACAAAAACAAAGCACGTCCAAAGCACACGGAGAGCGGCTGCGAGCGGCCATCTTTATTTGCTCTGTCACAGCGGGTTCCATGGCAACAAAATCCGAGGGTGTGGAGTTCATCGGAGAAGTGAGTCACGCGTTCAAGTTTGTTTCCTCTTCTTTCTTTTTTTTTTCTTTTTTTTCATGAGACTGTGATAAATATGAAAAAAAAATAATAATGTCACCAGCCACTTCTTTAGCAACACCTCCTATAATGTTTAAAAAGATATCTCAAAAAGCCAAATTAGGTGAAAAGAAAAAAACATTGCAGACCAGCAAACTACAACCACAATATTAAAAAATATTGCGAAACAAATATCTCTCTGACGGCGTCGCTAAAAATTCATTCATTCATTCATTCATTTTCCAATCCGCTTATCCTCACAAGGGTCGCGGGGGGGGGGGGGGGGCGCGACC